ACTCCTCATTAACCACCTAATCTGCTAACAACTAATAAAATTAGCTTAAGCATATGCTTAAACTTTTGGGCTTAAGCACATGAATCTAGGTTGAGCTACAGTGGGTTGTGTCCAAGTTCTCAGGCAGCTATGAAACTGCAAAAATTGGAAGACTATTTTGGCTTGTTTTGATTAGTAGAAGTGTGTGTGGGGAGGGGGTTTCCAATGTAAATGAGAAGATAGAGTTCAAAGGTTAAAGAGAGATGTTGAAACTCCGTATGAAATGGATTAATTTTAGCTTTGTCTTTCTAATCGTCTGCTTGGATTCAGCCATTCAGGATTCAAGTATATAAAATTAGGAGGTTATAAGGCTATAATTACTTAGTGGCAAGAGTTGTTTGCCAAAGTATTAGTATATTTTGATGAAATACATACACCAAAAATTTATAAAAAAAATAAAAATAAAAACTTTGACACACTAACACCAATGGACTAGTCAATTATGCCAAGAAAATGAAAGGAGTCTTTGACTCGACTCACTAGAAAAAGAAAATAAACAAAAATGAAAGCGTTGGCGACTGGCGAGAGAGTCCATACTTACTACTTAGGTCACCCAATTCGTGGGGTTGGCCTTCACGTTCCCGCTCTAGCGCGTGAAAACGCGGATCCTGAGTAAATCGCTATTAATTCGCGTACTATAATTTTTGCGAGCGCGAACTGTTTTTGGAAGAGCGCGGCTTTTGGAACGTACGCTTAAACTCCCCAGATGAATACCAGGATAAAGATGGGAAAGCGATAAAAAAGAATGGGTGGGAAGGAATAAAGAAAGGGTAAAGTTTTCCTAGTTGCGCCATGGAAGGTAATCCATTGCCGGCTTGACGCCTAAGCCTCCTTAACCTTAAGATAGACTTTGGAAAATCAGGAATCGGTGGGGTCAGGCGATGAAGACGATGCCTTGTTGGAGGTTCGACGATGAGTCGACGACCATCTGAAATGACGATGAGCTGTGTTAAGGACTTGGTAAATGGGGCAACTAGGAAAACTTTACCCTTTCTTTATTCCTTCCCACCCATTCTTTTTTATCGCTTTCCCATCTTTATCCTGGTATTCATCTGGGGAGTTTAAGCGTACGTTCCAAAAGCCGCGCTCTTCCAAAAACAGTTCGCGCTCGCAAAAATTATAGTACGCGAATTAATAGCGATTTACTCAGAATCCGCGTTTTCACGCGCTAGAGCGGGAACGTGAAGGCCAACCCCACGAATTGGGTGACCTAAAGATAGACACCGCCCTCCGCCATCTTCGACCGCTCCACCTTTTTTTTTTTTTTTTTTTTGCTGATGATTTCCCTTTGCCTTTCTGCACCGCTACTATCGCCTCACGTATCCAACCCACTACTGTCTAATGCCTTCCATCTAAAACCCACCATCATAATTTAACTGCTGGCTGCCGATTGACGAGGGTACAAAAATCGAAAGGGAAATGAAATTTGGTAAATGGGTGGTGGAGATTGTGATTAGTTCTTTGTATGTTTGTTTGATAAGGTCTAATTTTTATTTGTTTTTCAGTTGGGTTTGGTCCTCAATTAATGTGTTGGGTAGGTGTAGGATAACGTGGATGCCAAGTGCCAACAAAGCAAATATGTGAAATGACATGTCTTTTTTTAAAGTTTCCTTCTTTTAGTCTTTCTCATTGTTTTTTTTTATATATTTATTGTACTAAATTATTATTTTTATATTAAAATATAAATAATAATATAATAATAACGCTCTTTATGCGCTCTTAATATCAAATTCTTTAAAAATGTACGCTCTCACGCTCCCGCTCTCGCTCCGCGAGCTGGTTACCTAAGTCCATACTCCATATGCCCAAAAAGCCCCCCTATTGGTTGACTCGCACACCATTGACGACCACCAAACCCCCACCCAAACTCCTTCGGCGAAACTGCCCAACCCCAATTTTCAATCATTTTAATCAAAAGTTAGGAACCACAAAATCGACACACTGCCAACTCACCTACTTCTCTTCTGCTTCCCAACTCTCCCCTTCCCAGAGGTTATTATCTATATAAATAGGACCTCATCACCCATGTTCAGGAAACACAAAACACACAAGCAGCAGCAGCAGCAGCAGCAAGAAACTTTCCAACACAGAGAATTTGGATTCGCGTCATCATCACTTTGTGAAGCAACAAAAAGGAAGAATGACCGGAGTGGAGAACCAAGCTGGACGGCACCAGGAAGTCGGCCACAAAAGCTTGTTGCAGAGTGATGCTCTCTACCAGGCAAAGCACACACAAATTTCCCCTTTTTCCAACAATTTTCAAACTTTTCATGTCAATTGAAGTACTTACTGTGATTTGTGTGTGTTTTTGGGGATGTTGCAGTATATTCTGGAGACTAGTGTGTACCCTAGGGAGCCTGAAGCCATGAAGGAGCTCCGTCAGGTCACTGCAAACCATCCATGGTGAGAGATCAGACCCTCTAATCTTGAAATAACTTTTATAGCTCGACTCATTTGTTCTAGCAACTTGTTTGTGTTTCTCAAGTTTGCTTTTCTGCTGCCAAATGTTTGCAGGAACATAATGACCACCTCTGCCGATGAAGGACAGTTCCTCAACATGTTGCTTAAGCTCATCAATGCCAAGAACACCATGGAGATTGGCGTCTACACCGGCTACTCTCTTCTCGCCACCGCGCTTGCCCTCCCCGAAGATGGCAAGGTAATGCAATTCCTAATAAAGAGCATTGCCATTTGCCCATTTCAAAATCTGGAACTATGGTATTATTAGTTCATTTTGACATGATTGGTTGGCTTGTTGTGTTGTAGATTTTGGCGATGGACATTAACAGGGAGAATTACGAATTGGGTCTTCCCATAATCCAGAAAGCTGGTGTTGCTCACAAGATTGACTTCAGAGAAGGCCCTGCTCTTCCTGTTCTTGATCAAATGCTTCAAGATGTAAGCTTTTTTCTTATGGGAAATAGAAATACCCTTCATGAAGTTGTTGTCTTTACTTCGTTTCTCATATGGGTTTTCTTTTTCTGGTCCAATCTTGTGGCAGGGGAAGCACAATGGCAGCTTCGACTTCATCTTTGTGGACGCGGACAAAGATAACTACATCAACTACCACAAGAGGTTGATTGATCTGGTCAGGATCGGAGGTTTGATTGGCTACGACAACACCCTTTGGAATGGAGCAGTGGTGGCTCCACCGGATGCGCCATTGAGGAAGTACGTAAGGTATTACAAGGATTTCGTTCTGGAGCTGAACAAGGCCTTGGCCGCTGATCCGAGGATCGAGATCTGCCAGCTTCCGGTGGGCGATGGCATCACTCTGTGCCGCCGCATCAGCTGAATATTCTCCACATTCTGAGTTTTAATTGTACATTTTTATTTTATCATTACTACCCACCATTGTATTCTCTACTTGCGGGTTTTGCTTTGTAGTTGGTTTATAATCAAGTTAAAGGGTAATACGTTTCAGTTTCACATTAAGCATAATTCTGTTCTCAAGTTTCAAATGGAAAACCGTTTGACCCAAATGCAAAACTTTCAACCATTTCATACTGGTAAAAATATGTGGTTATACCGAAAAAATATTGTATTTACACAGGAGAGCAGTGAGCCAGATACTGAATAACTGAACATGAGAAACCAAGGCACAAATGAGACAGAGTAAAAATCACAACTTTGCCGATTAATCATAAAATTAAGTCTAACTACACCAAACTGCAAAGTGCAAACGTTATCTTTTATCCCAGCCGTCAAAGTGAGGGCGTGGACTCTATTTGTTGGAGAGAATTGAGTGCTCCTTTAGAGGAGATCGTTGCGAGGAAAACTCGATCAATGCTCATTGGTGACTGCTGAGTGGTAACTATTGGGCATTGGCACAATCGAGCATGAGACTGTGATCCCAATCCCGATTCACATAAAGTAGGATAGCACATGGTTCAAAAAGGCACGCTTAACCTTACGCTTAGGACGCCTATGTGCAAGGCAATGACATAACGCCTCGTCTAGAGGTTTCCCGACTAATTAGATACTGGAACACGTTAATGAAGTAAGGTGACATATAAGTCTCTCCTACTATTATTATTTCATTAGTCATGTAGTGTGAATAGCTATTTTTCTTCCAACGCCTAGGCACGCATAATCTACGCCTAGGCGAGCTAGGCGCTAGGCAAAGCCTCAAAGCCTGCATTACGCCTAGCACCTTTTTGAACCTTGGGATCGCACCACTCACTTCACACGCTGAAGCACAGCCAACATTTATGAGTGTTCTTTTTTTTAAGGACGATAATAAATAAAATAGTCCCACATACAACTAGGGTTGTTAATGAACCGAGTCGTTCACCAAGCTGCTCATGAACGGCTCGGCGTCCGACTTAAGAAAAACTCGTTCGAGACTCGATTCGTTTTAATCGAGCTTGCTCGCGAACAAGCTCGTTAACTAAACGAGCCGAACTCGAGTCATACCATGTTCAGCTCGAAAGCTCGCGAACAAGCTCATTTAACGGTTTGGCATCAGAAAGGATTGGAATTCATGGATTTTATGTATTGAAATTGGGATAAATATTGTGTTTTGTTTTGCTAGACTTTGCTACAGGTTTGAATGTATATTTTGTGCTCAACTCTAGCTCAATCTTGAGCTATAATTAACATTTTATGTGCTAAACTCAATTTTGTGCACTTTAAACTTATTTGGCGAGCCGAGCTCGAGCTTAAATTTTCATGAACAAGCTCTGCTCGAGCCTGCATATTAAAGCTCGAGACAAACACGAACCAAGCTCGAGCCTGAAAATATATTAACGAGCCGAGCCGGAACTATGACAAAGTTCGACTCGGCTCGGATCATTAACAGCCCTACACAACCCATTTGACTTCTCTAATGCTAAAACTCCAACTACGAAGAAAGATCCAAATTCACAATGTGATAGGATACTTGGTCATTTTGATTCAAGATCCGATATCACAAGGTGGGAATGTTGGATAGCTCCACATGAACAATAGGTGAGTTCAACTTACTAGTTGACTCAAGATTCGATATCAGAAACTGTGACCATTCGAGGACATATGATAAAATTGGAACGGTATCCCAACTGTACTGGATTGTTAGATAGCTCCACATGAACACCAAGTGTGTTCTAACAAAATTTGCAGCTCCTAAAGGACTGGGGAAGCCATATATGGCATGCAAAAGAAGACGAAGAAACTAAAAGTCGCAAAAAGATTGCATTTCTTAAAGCGTCTGAACCGAAAGAGATGAGAAAAAAAGGCATTAAAGAAACCAACTTCCACGCTGGAAAAGAATGTTAGACAAGGAAGTAACCCCGCCCTTCCACCATCAAATGCTCTTTCCTTTTACAATAGAGATCTGTGCAAGTTAGATCTGTGGTGTCATCAATTAACTAACCTCGTTCTTCATTTCTCTACCCTTTTCCCGTGTTCATTGCAATGACTCGACCTGGCCGACGCAGGAGAACAAGGAATGTACACAAAATGCAGTCAGTTAAGCTGCAAGAGAGACAGCAATGGCCGCCTCCGCGAATGGTTAGAACCCTATGCCTATCCTCCAAAGGTCGATCAGGGAATGCTGCTTTCGGCTCTGTAAAAAAGAAAAACAAAATTGTGAATCTGAGATTTCTTTAGGCCAGCTTTTTGGCACGGCCACTCGGATGAGAGGGCTCTTCCTTTTTCGATCCCGTTGCCTCGGGCTTCCTTGCCCAAGCAGGAGCTCTGTCTGGTTCGTAACGGTAGTCATAGAAAAGCTCCTCCCCTGAGTTTATTCTTTCTTTGGCAAATATGCCCACTCGGTGATCTCCTGCAACCATAATCACCTGCGCGATCCAAAATGCTTAAAAATGTGGGGGAAAAAAAGAAAGTGTGCTGCCAAACAATGAAGCAGCATTAGTTGACAAATTTAGATTTAACAAGCCAATTTGCAACCTTTGCGTAGCAGTTTGGATCAGGAGAATGGTTGGCAAACTTCAACTTGTCACCTTTCCGGTAAGCATCAAGGACAAACTACATACATCAAAAGCATGGAGTCATATGATTGACAAAGAAAAGAAGAGTCAGTTATTCTCCATGCATCCTAAAGTTGGGTAGAAAAGTAAAAAACCCATCCTGCCTGATCATTCAAATTGAAGAGGAACGAGGAGTTTTCACGATCGTAAATCTTGCCACGCTTGTCAGCTTCCCTGTGCGAGATCAGCTCTCCAGTGTATTCACCTAGGTACTCATTTTTAACCACGCTATTCTGGAGGTCAGCAATAACTTTTTACCATCAGCAACAAAGAGAATCAACTGGGTTTGATCAAAAGGATTAAATTACCAATAGTACCTTCAAAAATGCTCCCCATCCAGATACATCAGATTTTCCAAGTAAAACCTGTACATAAACAGGTGTCTTGAGTAAATTAGTTGCGAGAAAAAGAAACACTTGGCTGCAAAGACAACTTCACAATGAAAAACAGTAACAAGAACCGACTGTCGTAACTACTATTGTGGGTTCCATCCTTCATAATAGCAAAACTAATGCATATACTAGAATTGTTGTAAGAGAATTACATATACCGGAATCGTTGCAAAAAAAGAACATATACTGGAATTATGAATGTTGGAGATATCTAAAGCAAACTTCAGAAAGTATGGAAGATTCAAAGATGTCCACATGTTTATATATAATAAAAGTATTAACTAGTAAAAGTATAGAGGGAAAGATGGATACCCTTCGCTGTTGTCTGAGAAGAAGCTTCATATTCCTACACTCATAATTGTCTCCCCTTTGATTAGGTACTCCAAGTGAGCCATCGCCACAACTGCAAATCAAATTTCAAATAGCCAAATGGAGTAAGGCATAACAGAGAATCAAGAGGATCAAAATGTATTCCGCAAGGGAAAAAGATGTACAACACATTCTTCGTAGGGCGATGGTAGAATAAGACACAATGTTGTCTTTCTAATACAGACATTTCAAAATGAATTATCATCATTGTATACTAACGAATAACAACTCACCTAACCCAACAATTCCGACAAACATCTGGATCACATTCCCTATCCGCAGCAAAGCAAGGGCATTGACGGCTTCGACATTGACTCTTGGCACAATGACAGCCTCGGAAGCGATTTTTGCAAGTTTTAGGACATCTAGAAGGACAAGTAGTTTAGAAAATGAACAAAAAGAAAAAGAGTAATTGTTATTTGAGCTCTCGCATGCTTCATGAATACTATTACTATGTATCGTGTTGATTGGTATGCCTGCAATGGCAAACTAATAAAACACCTCAGATTACCTTCGTCTTGAATGTATCTAATAGTGAGATATAATTAAAAAGTTTTTTGCAATATCAACAAGACACACGACTTAGGGATTATAAAACGTCTCACCCACAATACTTCTCACAGCATGTGCCGTTCAAATGGCATGGGCACTCCTTTCCACAAGCTGTTTGGCAGCCACAAGGATTGTACTGGCGGCATGGTTGATCTTTTCTCTCACTTATCCGTTTCCTAATAGAATGGTAGGCTGTAGATTTCCAAGAATACTTCAAGCGGCGAACTCTACCTCTTCTGCGCAAAAACTTTGATCTTCTCCTAACTTCATTATTCCCTTGATGTTCAAACTTGGAATAGCCATCGCCAAGAGAATTTGCAGCATCACCTGCTTGATAGGCTAGCCTTTTGTCTCCTTGTGTCATGAATTGAAAAACTTCCACACACGTCTTTAAACCATTTAACAGGTTCCTAGCAATTAGACAGCTGCCACCAAGAACAAAACCAGTTGCATAAAACAACAGACAGCCTATATTGATTATTGAACCACAAGCATGTCAAGAATCAAGACAGCATGAGCACCATGCAATCAAACTTACTCAGGTACCTGATTTCTTTTAAACAAAAGGACGAAAGATCTGGTAGAATATATTTCGTAGAAGTGAGCTAAATTACCATCACATACCTATTCCGGCCAAAGATTTCCACGCCTTTCTCGAAAAGACTTTTCTCGAAAGCTTTCCAAGACAGGTTATCATTCAACGCCATTTCACAGCTGTTTCCATCAGCACAGTCATCTTTTCTCAAGGTAACATCACTGTTATTTCCAGGTGGGTCGGTGACCATCCCACTTGATATACCATCACGAGCTTCACCTTGCAAATTCTGAATAGAAAGCTCTCTTTTCCTTGACCTTGATTTTGCATGTTTCTGGGAAGAAGAATTGGCATCTTCATTTTCTTTGTGTGGACTACTGCTAAGTTTTCCGTCACCTCCCAAAACACTTCCACTAGCCACAGAATCTGAATCAGAGCCTACCACCTTCTGTCTTTTTTTACTGCAACTCAAAACACGTTCAGCCACTCGCTTGCTGTTCCTTTGAGAAACTCCACCATTTCCACCAAGTTTTGTCTTGGAGGGTGACAAGTGGCTCGTGGAAGCAGTATGTTGAGGTTCAATCTCTGAGTCACTACTATCTGACATGTTTTTGACAATTGACGAGGCACTTTCACTTTGGGAGGGCTTGGCCTTCTTCCGAGCACATGGAGTATGTTTTTTCCTTACAGACGTGCGAGTCCCAGCACTACCAGATGATGGCTGGACAGAGTTGTCTTTTGTATCACCAAGCTCAGGGGAATCGTCAGTAGCCACTTTTTCCGGCTTAGATACCTGACATTATGCATTTAAAGATACTTGGAGTAGTTTAGTATGTCCTGTCCATAAAGGGAATCACCCATCATATTTAAGATACAAAATATCCATCAAGTTATGTACCGATCTGTAGCAGTGTTCACCACACGGTAGATTGTCAAGGTCTGGACGGTTCAATGGTGGTGGTTTCTCAGCCTAACAATGTGCAGCATCAACAAAACAAGTAAGATGCCCACCGGACTTCCAAGCAACACTGTGATGGTCATTTCTTACGTTATCAACTTACTGGAAATACAAGATCCTGTGAGCATCCATGCAATCTGCAATCAAAGACCTGGAAATTGAAAGAAAGCTCCTGCTAAGGGACATGATCTACAAGGAAAGATTAAAAAAAAATATGAGGGCTACAAGAACGAGACATACAAGACAGCGACGACAAAATAGGTTGTCAAAAGAATCCAAAGCAGCTTCAAGATCCTTCTCAAGAAAACAATTCAACGACGAAGCTTCACTGTCTACATTCAGGGAATCCACTGAAGTCTTCTCTTCCTTGGTTAGACTTTCATATCTTGCCTGTATACGATGATTGATTGTGTTTGATCAGTGTATAAAGACAGTAAAAGGGAATGGAAACTGTTGGACCAGAGCTTACAGTATGACCAGTCTTTTCAGATGCTAACAGTGTAGAGAACTTAGATTGAAAAATAAATGACTTCTTTAAAAATATAACGAGACAAAGAATATGGTCCACGAAAGCACATCAGTATCCAGCATCTGTCAAACATCATACCTTCACTTCATCTGCCTTTCTAGAGAAACATTCTGCCAAGGAATTTATGACAGCATCTGAGAATCCAGCTTCTTTGATGGCCATGCTGATAAAATCATGTATCAAGTCAGCGGTTGGTTCTTACATTCCTCATAATTTCACGACTTATAAAAATTCAGGCATTGATTTAGCATACTATATTATTAAAATGGGCTAGGCATAAAGCAAGAAATTGTCAGTGGTCAACACAATTATAACAGTGGTTCATGCATAAAATCTATAGGATATGCTACAAAACAAAATGAGAACAAAAGCAAGGACGTTTGCACAGAGAGGAGGGTCACAAAGCAAGAAACGGTCACCAGAGATAGTCCTGTGTACTTTGAGATCTACTAACCGTATAATATAATCTTCTGATTCCAGGAAATATTTCTTTTCCTCTTCTTCGTCAACATTTTCTTCCTCGCTATCACTACAAATAAGTGCCTCTCCATCATTCTGAGCATAATAAATCCTTCTCCGACCCACCACTGATTGATCTTCTGTCATCCTCTGATTTCTGTACCAAGTATAGAAACAATCAATCAGCCATCTATATAAAGCAATGATCTGAACTTAGGCTAGTCAACAGCCAGGTTTAAAAACATCTCCTCTCCCTCTTTGGCTTCTTTGTGGATTCTACAGTTACCTAATAGAAATGGTCATTTATAAAATTGAAAGTAATTCAAGCAGATAAGTGGGGATGCAAAAAGGCAGATGGATCTAAACAAGAGATTAAAAAGAAAAAAAGTAAACACAAAGCAATGTAGTTACAAAATTGGGAAAAATAAAACATCAGGAAACAAATTGGAAAATAAAATCTCAAGAGAATGAAGCGATAAAGATGCATGATAATTTGAGTTACCTGTCCAAAAATATCCAGGTGGTGTATGGAGGTAATTTCTTAACTTCAGGCAGTCTAATTGGCCGAACAGAATTCTTTCCCGGAGGGATACTAGTTCCCAAAAGAACAGCCGTAGAAGCATGAGAGTCTTCTTGATCACTGTCACTGTCCTTATCACTACTACTAGTACCAATGCCACTGTGCATACCAATTGCATCATCTTGCCTCTTTTTCAGTAGATCGAGACTAGAATCAGCGAAGTTAATCCAGCTGTTTCTTCTTTCCTTTGACAACTTCTGTAGATGGCTCGTGATACTAGCCAATTTGTGTCTATTGTTGTCCATCCTTTCCTGCAAAATCCAGATAGCGCCTAGTCAAAGACATAAATTTAAACCTGCAGATATCACAAACTGAAAATCACAACGCCATCACCAATGCACCTTTATAGAAACACACCGTTCATCTACAACGTGCCTTTTCAGAGACTCAATAACTGATACAATCTCCTTGCTCACAGGAGCTGACTCGTCTGCCTTGGCCATCTGCAGAGAAACAAACAATATAGAATTGGGTCGTTTATCACATGAAGCTGCAGTTCTTCTCACACACCATACCCGGGAACTTAGACTAGACAAACGCATTAAATTTCATGATTCCAAGCCTCGGTGAGCAATTCTCTAGCGATATTATTAGCCAGTTTCCAGCAGCAATCGACCGCACAGCTCATAGCGCCCCACATACTGTAGGAATTCGCCGGCATTCCACCGAGAATCACAGAAAGCTCGTATAAATCGGCCATAATCAATAAATGCAGCAGGCTATCTCCCACTAAATTAACCTACATTGAGCGATAAGATGCTTATCCACTCCCACAATTCACCACAACCGAAGCTCGGCCAAACAAGGAAAACAAACCGGGAAGGAGCCTAATCGGGAAAAGCATCGCGTCGAAACTTTCACGTATATTCCGAAGCAAAGAGAAGATATAGACAGCTACACAGAGGGATGAGGCGTCGAAGGTGCTTACCGAAGCGTCCTTGAGAGACCCCGATCTGCTGGCAGAAGGCGACGGGGACGCCTTCGACGCCATTGCTGAAGACGGATAAGACAGAGACTTGATTCAGCGACGACCCCCGGAATCGGGATCCGGTTCATGCATAGGTAGAGAGAGAGAGAGCAGTAGAGTCTTGGGAGAGAGGTAGAGAGAGGAATGAGAATTGGCGCGGGTGCAGCTTGAAACCCTAAGGTCAAAGTTGTTGCATCTGTAGCAAGGTATGGGGGGAACGAGTCTCGTTTTGGCAGGTTAGTTGTTGAATTTTTAATATCTGGCACCAAAATTTGAATTGTGTAGTGGTTTTTATTAAAAACAATTTTTCAAGACATGGGTATAATTGGGGTCGTTTGGATGGATTTTAGGGTGGACAACGGGACGAGATTGGGTACCCGTCCGTTTGAAATGGGTATTCAATCTCATTTGGAGAGGAAACTGATGGAGGCACGGCCATTAGTCAAGGGTAGTTAAGTATTTTATTAGGTTTAAGTCGATTAGGGTTTAGGGTTAGTATCTATATATTGCCGTTTACCTATATCATCAGGGGAAAAATCAGTAAAAATATTATCAAAGTATTGTTAGATTATTCCAATCCCCCTTTTCAATCCCTACTTATGCTATGTTCTTCTCAAAATCCTTAATTATCTTCTATCAATCCTGAATTCAATTCTCACTACCCTTCATCCATTCATCAGATGGTATCAGAGCAGTTTCAATATGTGGAGATTTTCGATTCATGAGCTTACGCCCGAATCCTAGCGGTGCTTGAAGAACAAATCAGCATATTAGGGTGCTTAAACAAGGAGGCCAAGACCAGACTCGGCTCAGTGGTCAGGGAAATCCATACACAGGCGGCACCAACCCTTAGCCCTGAACCACCAAAGATCCAGGAGGTCGTCCAAGCTCGACATGTCATGCCGATGTTGTCAAGTCAGGCCAAGAACACGCATGAAGCGAAATCGGCTACCACCCCTATTCCGGCTGTCATGGTCACTGCTAAAGGTGTCATCGCCACCATAGTTTTGACGTTGTCCATGCCCCCACCGGTCACGTCGAATGTTGGTGCTCTGTGCCCGGCCTCCTTATCGCGACCAGAACCAGTGTGGGAGCCAAACTTAGCATCGTCGCCATCTTCCATTACTTCAATCTTAATCTCTTATAGCAAAAGGCCAGCCGACAACCACAAAGCTCGAACCAACCATAGTTCATGGGAGAAAGTTATCACCCAATCAGCTTCAGAACGAGCCAAGATGCATTCGATGGAATTAAGTGATGGGATGATGGGCATGATAAAGAGGTACAGGTTGTTCAAATCTTACACTACTAATTGGAAGTTTAGGAAGAGGCATGTTCAATGGTTCGTGGAGCCAGATGGAGGGAAGGGTGAGATTGGAAGGTTTGTGTGGGAGGAGGATCTACGAGTAGGAGAAGTCTCGACAATGCTATGGCTTTTCTCCTCCAAGCCAGCGTCCAGCCAAGAGGCAATGTCAAATGAGATGACAAGCCTCCATGGCCCGCTGTCATCGGCTGTTGTTGCGGAAGCTCACTGCAAGGCTTCCACCACTGACCCCATGTCGGAGATATTCTCTATCACGACTCAATTTCAGAGCGAAGCATCATTTGTTGCAACAAAACCACCGGCCAAGGTTCTTGAGTTGGTCGACATCGAAGAAGAAAAGCCACTGGTTGATACGTTAAAGGAATATCTCTGATGTCGTACAGTGTCCGCCGTCGAAAACATGTTCGCTCAGGTTAAATACGAAGAAGATGGGGACACCAAGACCACCGTTGCGGCAACGACAACACCTGTTGTTGAGGATGTTGGAAATAACTTCCCCATCGACCAAGCCACGCATATGGGTAAGGTGGCTGCTTGGGGTGCGACGAAGATGCCAGTCATTCATGAAGAAATACAGCAGCTGCATCCATTCATTGATGCAAAAAGGGAAGCTTTTGCCTCAATCCAGGAGCAAGGTACTGTCGTCGAGGCTATAAGAACGAGAAGCATGTCTTTGCCCATACAAGGATGGAGGTTTAGAGAGAAGAAGATATATTCTTCTGCTGCGAGGAATGGATTCTTTTGAAGTTGATAAAGGTGGAGGAATTAATGATGATGAAAGTTCCTTCCCATATTCTCCAGATCTTGAAGTTCTCAATCAAGCGACTCTGTTGTCATTAAGGTATGCTGAAGGGACTCGTCGATGGGAATCAATGATCGAGTACAAGTTTTTGGAGAAGAGTTTTCGCGGATAAGGTCAATGAAGTTGAGATGCAAAAGTGGGCTAGCTTGTGACTCCACGATCAAGAAGTTAAATGGGATAGGGTGATCAGGTGTCTCGACAATTCAGGTTGTGGATCATGGATCTTCTTCCTCTTGAAAAGTCCAAACAAGCTCAGATTTGAATTTAAGTGGAGTAAAACTGTTCTTGACTTGCTGGTATGCGTTTACACCGTTGAGCCTTGAGTCTTCAGCGGTGACAATTATCCCTGCAAGCTACAAAGACAGAAGGGACAAGACAACGAGAGTGATGTTCCCTCGAGAAGTTGGCGGGGAGGGTCAGAAGGTACATCATTTGGTTTTAATTGCAGGTGTTGTTTCATAGAAGTTTAGAAAGAAAGAAAGAAAGAAAGAAGGTGAGCAGTCGTACCATGGGAAAGACATGAAGGATTTAAATGGTTCTAGCATGTACTTATGTTACGTGAAGTGGGGATGGATGGATGAAGATGATGGTGCTCGTGGGGCGCAATTACAGGTAGGAAAGGTTTGCGCGGAAGCAGGGGGCTTGTGCGTTCTATGTGATGAAACATTGCTCATCACGATCATACATTTGTTTTACTCGTGTGTACTCTCGAGAGTGTTAGTGTTGATGTTTGGCTTCAACCTTGAGGTCAAGGTTGCTTTGAAGAGGGAGGGACTGATGGAGGCACGACCTTTAGTCAAGGGTAGTTTAGTATTTTATTAGGTTTATGTCAATCAGGGGTTAGGGTTAGCATCTTGTTATAAACGCGCTGCTACAGATCGGGAAATAGCCGGAATTGACAAAGCGAGAATCGAAAAACACAGACACACGATTTACGTGGTTCACTAACACGATGTGTGTTAGCTAGTCCACCGGCGAGAGAGAGAGAGACAGTTTCACTATATCGAGGAGATTACAGAATACAGAGGAGTATGAGAAGTATTTATAGTACTTCTCCATGTGGGTCTAAACCTAATCCAATCTAGCAAAGAAAGCGGTTACAGACCAGGCCCAGAACCCGAACCCAAATAACATTGAGCCCATACACCGTGGGCCGGGGGCAACCCACCGGGGCGTAGCGGGTGATAGTCCGATTCAAGTCATATCAACAAATCTCCACCTTGAGTTGAATCCTCTTCCTCTGAAATCTCTTATGTACTCTGCTCCTTCTCTCTCTCCCGCCATCAATGCCCCGTAGGGCGGAGTCACCCACTCAAGACATTCAGCGAGACCCCCGATTACCAGTCGTAGCGGCTGATAGTCCGATTCAAGGCATATCAACACATCTACATATTGTCGTTTATCTATATCGTCAGGGGAAAAATCAATAAATAAATTATCAAAGTATCATTAGATTATTTCAAACCCCCTTTCCAATCCCTAATTCTGGTATGTTCTTCTCCAAATCCCTAATTATCTTCTATCAACCCCGAATTCAATCCACACTACCCTTTATCCATTCATCAGAAACTCAATCCCATGTCCCAAACTCGTACGGGTTAATGGGTATCCACTACCCGTACAGGACGGATAACGAGTATCCGTGGGTACCCATCACTACTATCTACTGTTCCTTCTTTCGTTTAAGTTTGGCTTCCTCCATGAGGTTAACAAGTCGCATGTTTATATTTCTCACTAAAACCTGACGGCTTCCTGGGGGATTCCCATATTTCTTATGTCCTCCATCCATCCTTCCACTGATGTTTCACCTTCGCCAAATGAAGGGGTCGTTTGGATGTGGTATTGCTATGAGTTATTTGGTACCAAAACTCATTTGGCATAAGAAAAGTAGGATGTGGTATTTAACCATGAGGTATTCCGAAATAACTCAAAAATGAGTTAATTGAAATATCTGGGGGTACCCAGTTATTCTCAAATAACGCGTTTTGTGTTAAAGTTTACCCAATTTTGCCCCTCGCCTATCTCCTCTCCTCTCATCTTCCTCTTTTCCTATTCTCCTCTTCTTTGATTTTTCTGTGCGAAATCAATATCCATTGACAAACGGAAGTTTATTGTGCAACCTTTGAATTCCTTTCTTTATGAAGATTAAATTGAGTAGGCTCAAGCTTAGGTTGTGCGGGCGAAGGGAGGCTTCTCTAGCAGCGGTGATGTGAGAATTTCGTTTGGCCAAGCTTTGTTTGCAACTTTTCATTCTCTAGCGGCGGCGCGGAAATGAGACCTACTTCCAATCTCATCTGCTCTCTGCCTTGTCTCATGCATGGTCGGAGATGATCGACGATGAGCAGCAGGTTTCCCCTTTCTCTGATTGTGCATGCGACGATGAACATAGAGGACAAAGATGGGCAGCGAAATCAATTGGGGTTCATTTGTTGTTGGAAATCAATTGCTTTCATCTGATCTTGTGTAAACAGAGAAGGTCGAACCCTCTATTGCTTGATCCTCTGGTTTGTTGTTGATATGTGGTTAATCTTTATGATTTTAACAATGTTGATTTTGTGGTGTTTACTTGGCAGAGATGTTGGGTCAGAAGGGATTGCCAATTCGAGGCCTGAGTGAAAGCTCTCATTTGTGTTCGACTGCAAGTCCGATTTAAAATTAGGAAATAATGGATTTGGAGGATTGAAAAGCTCTCGGCCGATTTTTAATTAGATGGAGGAATTGAAGTAGAATTGAGCGGCGGTGGGTGATGATAAAGATGCCCAAAAGCGGCTCTTCTTTATTTGATAATGGAGTGTTTTTTGTTTGAGGTTAGCTCTTCTCTAGATTGTGTATAACAATGGTTAAATGCAACTTTTGATTTCTAGTATTGCAGAGGGGTAGAAGATGGAGGGCATACTGGTGTTTTTGTCCATTTTAGATAGTATACCACATTTAAAATAACTCATCAGCCAAACAAAATATTTTAAGTCAAATACAACTTTCACAATATAAAATAACACACAAATATTACATATCCATAAAATGAGTTATTTAACCCTAGAAATACCACATTAACAACAACAAAAAAAACATCCAAAAGATCCCAAAGTATCATTTACATTTCTCCAATAGTGACAAAATGATCATTCAATCTCTATATATATTTAACTCTCTGATTCTCATTAAACTGATCTACAACCAATAAGGCGTTCATGATGTTCCACTAC